GAAACAGAGCGTTCAACCGAGGGGAGCCCAGTGTACCCATGGGCAGCTGCCCCATCGAGGGGAGGAAAGGCGGACGAAATCAACGAGCGGTCACGAGAAGACTGGGGAGTCTTCCAGGACTTCGAGACTTCATCATGCACGTCCGGGAAGAAAGGTATTGGGGCAGGCTGCGGACGGGAACCAGCAGCTGCACCCAAAAACCAATCGTCCAGCCGCGAGCGCTCGGGACAGGGTGGAGAGGTCCACTCTAACCCGATGCACGCGGCCGCCCGGGAAAGCATGGCCGTCATCTCTGGATCAGACTGAGCCACAGCCGTATTCACACCCGAAGGTGGCAGCTGTGACGAGTCGTCACTTCCAGACGAATCAGACCCGCCTTGTGATGCTGCGATTGACATTGCGTCTTCCTCTGGAGCGCCAAAGGAAACTCGCGGGGCACCCGAAGATGGTCCCGCAGCAATCCCCTGAACACTCGCGGATTGCAACACTGAAGAAGGTGCTGTGAAGGCACGGACAGATAGTCGGCGCTTTGTTCCACACAGTCACCCTCAGATCACCCTGGCCACCAACCGAAGTAGAGCCTCTCGTGGAGGTGCTAGATCGGGGTGTGGATGAGGGGGCTCTCACTCTTGCGAGGTCATTGAGTCTCGATCCTAGTGTTGCGATGGTCATGTTCCCACAGAGAGAACATGAGTCATCCACGAGCGCTGCTCTAGCGTGATCAATGCCCAAACACACTAGACAGCGCTCGTGCCCATCAGAGTCAGATACAAGTCGACCGCAACCAGAAGTGCACGGGCGAGGCATCTTTAAAAAGACGTGCTCTTTTGTGAGAAAAAAACTCGAGTGCTGAAGCGCCCGCGGAGAAACACACCAACTGGCAAACCACGCACAGATTAGCAGGAAGTGTGCACTCGCCGGGAGATCGCCGTCACACCAACACTGGAGAGTTTGCTCGACTCGTAAGAAGCTGACAAAATCAGAGATGGCTAAAGGAGTGAAGAATTAACTTGGCTCCGAAGCGAAAACATATCTGCATTCTGCCGGCATCCTCCTTTTATACCCACGAGGTGGGGCGGAGTTGCGCCATGCAAATTCCGCAGACCCATGGCATTTCTTTGCCATTGGCTCGTTTTGTAATACTCGAAGTCGATAGGCTTCTAAGCGGAACCCCATTCGTCGTCATCCGACGGAACTCGGAGTGACAACGAAAGGGAACATAGATCATCGTTGTCTCTTCTTCTTCTGTGCTTTTTACTGGTAGCAAACAGAGTGCTGCAACAAACTGCGTGCGCCCCCTTCTGGATTGGAGTGTGGCTCGCCTGTGACTGAATGCATTCGTCATGCGACTGCACGCACCGAACCGTGACGTCCGTACGGTAAGGACTGCTGGATAGGGAACACTTGCCCTGGTGGGCCGGTCAGAACCCAGGAACTCGTTCAACTACAGTTCTTGCCTTTGATGACTTTATATGAAATATAAATAACTAAATGAAGTGGCTTTAAGTCCAAACAGTGCCATTAATATAATAACATACACTCACCGGCCACTTTATTAGGTACCCCATGCTAGTAACGGGTTGGACCCCCTTTTGCCTTCAGAACTGCCTCAATTCTTCGTGGCATAGATTCAACAAGGTGCTGGAAGCATTCCTCAGGGAGTTTGGTCCATATTGACATGATGGCATCACACAGTTGCCGCAGATTTGTCGGCTGCACATCCATGATGCGAATCTCCCGTTCCACCACATCCCAAAGATGCTCTATTGGGTTGAGATCTGGTGACTGTGGAGGCCATTTTAGTACAGTGAACTCATTGTCATGTTCAAGAAACCAATTTGAAATGATTAGAGCTTTGTGACATGGTGGAAGTAGCCATCAGAGGATGGGTACATGGTGGCCATAAAGGGATGGACAAGGTCAGAAACAATGCTCAGGTAGGCCGTGGCATTTAAACGATGCCCAATTGGCACTAAGGGGCCTAAAGTGTGCCAGGAAAACATCCCCCACACCATTACACCACCACCACCAGCCTGCACAGTGGTAACAAGGCATGATGGTTCCATGTTCTCATTCTGTTTACGCCAAATTCTGACTCTAACATCTGAATGTCTCAACAGAAATCGAGACTCATCAAACCAGGCAACATTTTTCCAGTCTTCAACTGTTCAATTTTGGTGAGCTCTTGCAAATTGTAGCCTCTTTTTCCTATTTGTAGTGGAGATGAGTGGTACCCGGTGGAGTCTTCTGCTGTTGTAGCCCATCCGCCTCAAGGTTGTGCGTGTTGTGGCTTCACAAATGCTTTGCTGCATACCTCGGTTGTAACGAGTGGTTATTTCAGTCACTGTTGCCCTTCTATCAGCTCGAACCAGTCTGGCCATTCTCCTCTGACCTCTGGCATCAACAAGGCATTTCCGCCCACAGAACTGCCGCTCACTGGATGTTTTTTCTTTTTCGGACCATTCTCTGTAAACCCTAGAGATGGTTGTGCGTGAAAATCCCAGTAGATTAGCAGTTTCTGAAATACTCAGACCAGCCCTTCTGGCACCAACAATCATGCCACGTTCAAAGTCACTCAAATCACCTTTCTTCCCCATACTGATGCTCGGTTTGAACTGCAGGAGATTGTCTTGACCATGTCTACATGCCTAAATGCACTGAGTTGCCGCCATGTGATTGGCTGCTTAGAAATTAAGTGTTAACGAGCAGTTGGACAGGTGTACCTAATAAAGTGGCCGGTGAGTGTATATTTTACATATATTAAATATATATTTATATAGCCATAATATAATCAACCTGACTACATTACACACTAACAAAAGTCATTTTTAGAGGGTCAGGTAGAATTAACATAAGGTAACAATTACAGTAGTGTTAATGGTTGCCATGACATTTTACTGTGAAGGATGAGTTTAAGGACACGATAGTGTAATCCTCCGGTCATGTGACCTCTTGAAGCTGAACCATGGCCGGGTCACCTCTCTCTCTGACTCAACTTCGCATGACTGGAAATTCACTCAGTACAGTCATATTAATGGCACTGTTTTGACTTAAAGCTACTTCATTTAGTTATTTAAGACAATAAAGTTATAATCCTGGCAATAAAATCTGTTTGTTACCACATGACACACATTTCAGAATACCTGAGCCTTTTTAATAGAGAGTAACTTTTTATCATAATGTATTTGTTTTCAAATCAAACAATATTTAGAATGACTTGCGTGTAGTGAAGTCCTATTTTGGCAAATGCACAGCATTATAAAATTAGAACCTTTTGAATTGTATTTGACAAACTGCAATAGTTCTCTGTTTGCAGTACATTCACTTTGTACATATGAATGGATGACCTTTTCATTTCATCCTTCTCAGATTGCTGTCAAGTGAGAGGTGTTGGCAATTATAGCCATGCAAACAACAATGCTTTCATTGATAAGTCTCCTATTCAGAAATAGACCAGAGATAAGTGTGTAGTGGACTGCAGGCAGTACAGCTGATTCAAACTCTCATCTGCACAGTCTTGTGTGGACTTTCCGTGGTATTAAATTAATTCTTAGAATTACTGGTATATTTCCCCCTAATTGCAAACAATCAATCTGGACAAACTGCTTACAATTTACAAAAGAAAATGACATTTGGGGGAATAAATAAGCCATGGAAACATATCTTTGATATACTGAACAACACCAACCTATACAGACACCCTCCAAACCCACCCTGTCTTTGATCCATCGTTTGTCTGTTATTGTTTATAATGCCTATCAAAGAGCATTTATTTAATCCTGCAGAACCAAAGTCAACAGAAACATTCCTTTCTTTTTGAGGAAAAATCCTTTCTTATGAAATGAAGCCAATAAAAGAGAAGAGTCCCCCCCATTTGCATACAATTGTGCCGGACTCTTTCCTACTGTGATGAACAAAAGCCAAGGATATGATATCAGAATAAAAATAACAATGACAAAGCTACCAGCACTACCAGATTATCAAACTATCCATGAATTTAATTATAGGCTATTATTTTTATTATGTTATATTATTATAGAAAGCTGAATCTTTCTTTCTGACAAAAAGTCAGATGTTTTGGCAGTGCCAGTTATTTTCATTGGCCTATTTTAAACTAAGTTATGATGCATTAATCTATTAGTTATGGCATAGTTGATCAGCATAGTCATGTATGATAAATTATAAAAAGAATTATAGATTTAAAAACGTATAAAATGAAAATTATATGAAAAGAAGCATAGGCCTATTTCTTTTTTGTCAACAACAAGATTTCAAAGTAATTTCTCACCATATTGCTCTCTCTCTCTTAACTTTTTATCATAATGTATTTGTTTTCAAATCAAACAATATTTAGTATGACTTGACGCGCAGTCCTATTTTTCCATAAAAAAGGATATATAAAAGTTATATGCATATTTTTTCATTCTTAAAAATAATTAGGCCTATATTTCTCCTTTAGATTGTTAGTGCCTCTATTCCTTACATGTATTACGACAAAACATGACTCATGTGGATGCGCAAGTATGGTCTGTCTAAGATTTTTATTTTTATTTATTTTTTTAGATGCATGTTTGTTTGTTTTTTGTTTGTTTTTTAAATATGGATATCAAATCTGGATAAGGCATGTGTGTTCATTCTGGTACAAATCTAGAAACACGCTTTCAGGATTGTCCAGATTACAACGGAGTGCATTTACGTCACTCCGTTGAATACGTGCAGCCAATCGGGGAGCCCATTTCCATACATGCTTGTGTACACATAGCCACATGGTCAAAGGTAACCAAGCAACAGCCAATCAAAACCTGTGTTCGAGAATTTATATTAAGCGCTTTACACCACTGATGGGAGTTATCTGAAAACACCTGACAGACTAAATGACAATAATATAAGATCGACTAATATAGGCTTCTTTCAAAATGATAAATGGGCTGATACATTGTGGATATTAAATTATGATATTTTCGCACCGAATGTAATTTGCTTTAAGTGGATTTTAGGAGTTTTTTCCACCACAACGAAAAGAAGAAAATAATTATTCAATAACTTTTTCAAAAACTTTTTTTAACCTGCCATCATGGAGTCTAATAAAAAGGTAAGGTAATATTGCCTGCCTTATTATAACTCTAGTGTAGCTAGTGATAATTTAACTGTAGCCATACTTTTATACAAGTGATGCATAATGTTGTCATCTAGCCTATACCGTTTCGAAAGTGCCAGCAAAGCCCGAGGGATATAACTGGGAGAGAGTTGTAACTGTTTCAGTAAATACTTAAAAAGAACTGCCAAGTCAGCAAAACTAGATTTCATCTAAAACAAAATTTTAGAGAGATTTGAGATGAAAAAAAATTAAAGCACACTTTATTTTGACTAAGCGAACTGATACAACTCTTAGTTTATTACCAATATGTTTGAATTGAGGTTTATATCTGTACCTCGACAAATAGTAAAACTGTGTAAAATAGTAAAATTGATTGAATTTTGCACGGTTACACTGAGCCATGTTACTCAGTTTTTCCCAATACCCATTTTTTTTCTCCTGCAACAATGGTCTCATGTCACCAGGTTTAAATCCATAAGCAATGGGAATATGTGATAAAATCTTCTAAAGACCTCCCAGACCACAGCATTGCTAAGATATTTAGGGGAGAGGCAGATTAATTACTTCAACCCTTGCTTTTACATTGACATAAATCTGATGTATCTTGTTTGCCAGAGAAGTAAAGTGATGAAAGAAGGCTAAACATAAAGATGATCACAGCCTCTTGTGAACAAGAGAGCAGTTGCAGGGTTAGTTAAGGTCTCTAAGGAAAAATACACACAATGCTGCTTTGCATAAGTATTTACAGAATATTTACAAAATAAGAGAAAATCTGCTATTTCGAGACAATTGTTTCTTGTGCATCAAACACCTGCTTTTAGATCTAGAAGGTCCATTAGGAAGATTGGCATGTCGAAATTAATTGTCAAATTAATTTATAATATTAACTGCTTACACAACAGCATATTGATTCCCTTATTTCATACACACTCCCAAATGAATGGTGCAAAAGCTGTCACTCAGACGGTACCCTTTAAAAAAGGTTCTAATATGCACCATTTAGGTACTAATATGTTCACTTTTGGTACCAAAATGTACCTTTGAGGTATAGTCTACTAATATGCACTTTAAGGTGCCTACCACTGACAGCTTTTGTTCCTTTTTTTTCCTCTGTGTATATAAAAAAAAAAAAAAAAAAAATTCTTCCAGGAATCAACCATGCTTTGCACTTGATTAATGTGTGCATATGTTCATTATAACTGACAAACTTTTGTATAACCATGAAATTTGGTTTATTTCTATAATTGCGTGTTAATAATAGAGCATTATTAAAGAGCTTATTATTGGGCAAGACTTAAGGAAAAAATAGCCTTTAAAGTTTAAACCCATTTGCCTCAGTGGCTCAGTGGACATTGCATTGCTTATTTATGTTTCTGTGAATTCATTTAATCTGGAATGTTAAGCTTTTCCTAAGGATTTGAGGCCTAACGTTATCTAGTGAACATGCAAAAAATACACATCAGTTAATTTGTTTTTATTCATTTTGTTTACGGTAACTGCAATTAATTGCATGTATTAACCTGTGTATATATAATATTTAGTTTAGTTTATTTAGGTTTAGCCTAAGTGTTACATGCAAACATTCTGAGTCCGAGCAGTACAGAGCATGGCCGCCCGGGGGCGCAATTGGCCCACCGTGAATCTGCCACAACAGTTCCCTTCTATTGCAGGGAATGTTTGCTAAAATACACCGGCCAGATTAAAACACTATTAAAAGGCTACTGATGTAACCTTCTTAAGCTTGAGAATAACTGGTTGTTGATGGGTAGGCGCTTGGATTCCATGATAGAATGCTTAGGAGCATGTATAAAATCACATGTTGGAGTTACAGTGTTTTTTGTATGGTTAATCTGACTATAAGTGCTAGTGCTCAAGATAAAGTGGTTGTCTTTGAAGGCCTGTTTAGCATGTTATGTAAGAGCCTGCGGTTGTTTGAGTGGATTGGAATAAGAGGCTGGAGTAGTCGTGGTATGTGTGCGTGCTTTGGTTCAGGTGCTGCCGGATCTGTAATAGGATCATATACTTGATAACAGGTTTTCCCTCATTCAGCATGTTACTGCATAGTGAGTCCACAGTTCTTTGGAATAAAGAGAACCATTGTTATTTGGTGGTTAAAAAAACTTCCAAACATTGCAAGTTTTTTGACTATTAGATACTGATTGAGTGAAACACTCCATAGAAACTGCACAATCAGTACACACATTCCGTTTTAACTCCCTGTGAAATGTCTAATCGAGCTCACAAAGTAAATTCAATTTATTTATCAGCAATTAATTGTCACATTGGACTTTTAGATTTGGCCTTAAACCGAAGTATTCTCAATATTGTTCTATAAAAGGTTGAATCAGAAGGATTTAGTTATAATAGTTGCGAACCAAATTAAAATATTGCTTTATAGTTTAACTCAAATGTTGTTCCTCTTCCCTTACAGCAGTTGACACTTAATCTGTTGATGGCTGTTGGGACTGCTGTGATTGGCTCCTTGCAGTTTGGCTACAACACAGGAGTCATCAATGCCCCTCAGAAGGTGAACACTTATACAGACATGACACATAGTGTCATATAAGCACTTATGTATCTGCATATGGCAATTTAATAAATGGATAGAGTTTTTGTATTCATTGTTATTGTTGATGTTTGCATGTTAGTGTTATTATGTAATGCATCTAATTTTAGATTAGCTGTAAACTGTATGCTGTATTAACCCTCCTTCTAGAATAGCCTATTAAAATGTGCTGATTCACACATGCAGAGCGTTCTAATAATAGACAAGCACTGCTGAGATTCTTATAATGACATTCTGACGCTTTTTCACCATGAATAATGAATGAATAAGTGACATTGAACCCTTCATGGGTCACATTACCTTATGGGTTCTGAATAAATCCCACATACTTGAGAGAATCCTATATATAGAGTGGGAAATCATGTGCCATAGGTTACATTAGTCTTTTAACGGGATAAAGAGAGAAAGTCAAAAGTCAAGGAGACGGTAAGGACGTCATCATTACTGTGACGGGGACCTTAAGATTATAAGTAAATTGTTGTTGGTGATCATTTTTTTGACCATTCAAACGTTTTGGGTCAACATGCTCACCAAGGCTACAAATATTTTTATAAAAAATACAATAAAGCAGTTATGAGATATTACAATTTAAAATAACTTTATTTTATTTTATATATTTTAAAATGTAATTTATTCATGTCATGACAAAGCTGAATTTTCAGCAGCCATACTCCAGTCTTTAGTGTCACATAATCCTTTAGAAATCCTTTAGAAATCAATGTTGAAAACAGGTGTGCTGCTTAATTTAATGTTCACTTTTTGTCAATTTAATGCATCACTGCTGAATAGAATTATAGATTGCTTTCTAAAAAAAAATATTGCTGACCCCAAACTTTTGAAGGGTACTGTTCATGTTCAACTTGAGTGAGTGAATAGATTTTCTTTTCATTTTTTTTAAAATTCCTTTTAATTTATTTAGGAAGAAAGTAAGTCACAATAATAAGCCAAGGCTTGTTTATGTTTGATGATGATCACGCTTAATGAAGCAGTTTCTTATGCAATCTTTCTGACTCAGCGGTCAGTATGAAGTAACACTGCTCCCTCTGCTGACTGCAATGTGGAACTGCTGGAGCAAATGGCTTGACTGAAGTTACAAAGTCATACAAACAAAAATTATTTGTGTGAACATTTTTTTTAAAGAAAATTTAGCATTGAGGTATCAAATGAACACTCTCTCTATATGATTCTCATACCCAAGGAGTAATGTTTTATTTTCTCTCTCTCGTAGATCATCGAAACCTTCTACAATGAGACATGGCAACGTAGATATTCAGAGTCCATCCCGCCAACCACTTTAACTACGCTCTGGTCTGTATCAGTGGCCATTTTCTCTGTAGGTGGCATTTTCGGCTCCTTCTCGGTGGGCCTCTTTGTAAACCGCTTTGGCAGGTAACTTGACTATCCAATCAGAGCTTTACAAACACTCCACTTGTATTCTGGATTCATGTGTCTTTAAACTTTCTCTTTCTAATCTTTTAACAGGAGGAACTCAATGCTCATAGTTAATGTTTTGGCCTTCATATCTGCTGCTTTAATGGGCTTTTCCAAGCTGGCTGAATCCTGGGAAATGCTTATTATTGGACGCTTCATTGTCGGCCTTTACTCTGGCCTGTCCACAGGCTTTGTACCAATGTATGTAGGAGAAATCGCCCCAACTTCATTACGTGGGGCGCTTGGTACACTTCATCAGCTTGGCATTGTCACAGGCATCCTCATGGCACAGGTTAATTAAAGTGTTGTCTTTATTTTGAGACCACCTTTAGCAATCGTTTAGCCTTTCTGATTGTAGATCTTTTTGTTCTTTTTTTCTATAGATCTTTGGTATTAAAGAAATCATGGGGACCTCAACAATGTGGCCCTTCCTACTTGGCTTTACTTTCATCCCAGCTTTACTCCAGTGTGCCGTGCTGCCCTTCTGCCCCGAGAGCCCACGCTTCCTCCTCATCAACCAGAAAGAGGAGGCCAAAGCCAAGAGTGGTGAGTTTTTTAGGCCCCACTTAAGATGCTGTCTAGGGTGTTTGCAGTCGGCCTAACTAACTCATTTCCACAGTGCTGAAGAAGCTGCGTGGCACTGATGATGTGGAAGAAGACATGCAGGAGATGAGGGAGGAGAGCAGGCAGATGATGAGGGAGAAGAAGGTCACCATCCCTGAGCTGTTCCGCTCATCGCTCTACCGCCAGCCCATCTTCATTGCCATCATGCTGCAGCTCTCCCAGCAGCTCTCCGGTATCAATGCTGTACGTTTTCCTCTTTATTTCCTTATCTAATATTTATCTGTCAATCCATCCATCCATCCATCCTTCCACCTTTCCTATTCTATTGCTTTTTATCTTAGAAATACCTGGTATTTATGTATTATTTAACCCCCTGGGGTCGGCTATCGCGCCGGCGCGATAGGCAGACTTTTTTTCTTATCAGTGCAAAAGAGACTCAAAATACTCTGTTGATTTTAATCTTACATGTAAGTGTTATACATCAGTCGATCCTGTTTAGTGTATATTATTTTTCTGTATACTCACAATAAAAACAAAGTGTTGTGCTTTTTGTCAAATGAAGAAAAATAAACATGATGCGAGTTTTGCCTTCTCTCTGTCAGTGCAGTCCATTCTGAAACGCGTCCGAAAAATTAACTCTAACTCTGCAAATACTTGTCACACAGGCACGAGAGATTTTTCTTTATGAAGCTTGAATTCTCTTCTTTTCAATGAAGTAATTTATATAAAAAACAAATATTCTCAGTTTATGTAATCTGTATGAAAAGAGAGTGCTGTCAGAATTTTTTTCCCCAGCTCATTACACTTCATTACGCGTTAATCTGACACGCCCACGGAGAACGCGCGCTATTCAAACGCAAATGTAGAGGAAAGCCATGACAACGCCCACATCAGCCGTTCCACCGCGGCGGTAAAATGTGGGGTGTATTTGCTACCTTTTACCGCTAAGAGGCGCTACAATCATAGACTCTGAAAAGTGTTCGTTTATTCTCTCTAATGCGTAATCTGCTGCTCATTCAGAGCGATTGAAAGCTGGTAGCAGATGAATTCAACAAGTGAAACGTAGTTAAAATAATTCATTACCACAATACTGAAATTAGGCTGAAATACTGAAATGAAATTGAATAAATAATGAAAACATAAAACATTGCAATAAAAACATTTAGGCTACATCAATGAAGCTTTACAAAAGCATAAGACTTTAACTCTAACAGCGTACAAACGGTGGCTCAGTGATCAACGCATCAACACGAGCTTCAGGGAGCTTCAATCGACCCGAGATCGAATCTCAATGTGGCATACATGTTGTTAACCGATGTTGGCCAACAGCGTTTATATTTTACCTTCTTGATGCTTAAATAGCTAACTGTTTATAACTGTTTACTTATTTAAAGTCAAGAGTTTTGTTTAATTATCATTACAACATAAATTTGCTACATTCCAGTAGAACCGCAGCCGCTGCACAAAGGACACAAACTGATGAAGGAAGATTGTCAGCCGATTGCATCAGAAAATGAAAATGAAGAAGCTCGTCTTTAGTCTGCTAAATTATTGTGTAATGTAAAAGAACACTAAAATTACTTAAGTTTGAAACCAAGTTCGAACATTTCAAGGTTTAAATAAAGTGTTTTTTTTTATTTAAAACAGGGTTGCATCGGGTTTAGAGTTTATTTCTTTTGCGATGCAAAATAAGAAACACTAGGCTAATATTATTCTTGCGACATTTTAAATTTGTATTGCCAAATAAATGACATTAAACAATTAAAACAGTAGGCCTACAAAACGAAAATTGTCCAAAGCAACATAATTAAATTAAAACATGCGTTTTTCTTTGCCTCTCTCGCGCTGAATCTCTTTTTAACAAGTTTATTTAGTCTCCCTCGCTCTCCATATGAAAGAGGAACATTAACACCTAGGCCTATTGTCCTGCGCGCACAGCACTGAACTGTCCCCCAACCCCCCACAGGCTATCGGAGTCTGAGGCTGATTTAACACAAAGAGAAGTCGTAATTCACACTTAAATCGCTATTCTAGACAGTGTTGATAATGAAGGAATTAAATGATTTAAGTTACATGTAGCCTAGTGAATTTTCTGTCATAAAAGTTTATTACTAAATATTTCATTATTTCAATAATTGATGAAATAAAACTGGTTTGGGCCAGCTTTTTCCAAGCAAAACTAAATATAATCTGAAAAAACGCATGTTCATTTGTTGTCATGAACAAAATGTTCAACTTAATATTAAATTCTACAGGGATCTTTGGATCCTTTCAACCAGGCATGCAATTTGTGAATTAAGTTTTTATTATTTTTTTTATTATTCAAATAAATATCGAACCACGGTGCTTCGTGGTAATGCTGCTAAATTAAATAACATGTAGGCCTATAGAATAATTATGAACTTAAATGAAACAATATCGCAACATTTCGACAAATACATTATTTGATCTGTTTTTACATTTTAATTCAGGGCGATTTAGCCTGCTACATTTCATTAGAGCGAGATTTTCACCCTTGTCATTTTCTCATTGGGAAGCGCTTACATAGGCTACATGTTTGAGTAGATCCTCTGTACCTCTCGTTTTCATATGGATTACATAATCAGATAACATTTATTAGCCTGAATATTTAGACATTTAAAGGCATTAGACAGAGCCGATTTCTTATAGTGACTGAGCTGAAGTGGCTTTCGGTTCATTTTTGTGACGCGCAGTTCCCGGAGACAGAGACGACAGATAAACTTTTGTCGTTAGCAAAAGTTCGAATAAAACCCGATTTTAGAAAAATGCATAGGGCCACTCGGCGTGGTCTGCCAAAACACTTAATTATAAACTTCAATATTTCATTCAAAATAATCTCAAAACGCTTTGTGAAATTTTGAAAAGCCGTGCATGCATTAAGGCCACTTGAACTATGGACAACTGAAACGCTGGTTTTGATTTTATTGTTTATCGTTGTTTAAACGTGCTTGTTCTGTTGCATATCTCTATTTTATATTTGATATGGTCTATTGGTGAAGTAGCCTATAGCATTGATTACTGTGGAGGGAGGGGTGTGGGGATTCAAATAATTCAGCAGAAGCAGGGATGTTTAGACCAGAAGGAAATCCCCGTCCCGCTGGCAAATCACACTTTACTTAAAACCATGTTTTTAAAAACTCTAGGTTGTAGGGAATCAAAAAAATAATAATAATAGGCCTAATAAAATATATATATATATATATTGGCTATATATATAAAATTACTTTTTTTACAGAACTGCTTTTGAAATTACGATTGGCCTCATACGATTGGTACAGATGCAAAGTCGTTCTGTTGGATACTATTGTTCCTTAGTGTAAAATGGAAATGCATGGTAATTTTATTTTATAAATATAAGCAAAAAACTGTATGGTGTACCAGAGTTTTAGAGCTACACAAATCTCTCTGCATTAATAAATATAAAATTTACAATAGACCATGTTTGTTCGGGATTTGAACCCGTGTCATCTTGATGATCGAACCGTAAGTTCTACCACTCGGCTATGAATTTTCTCACTGAGAAATGCCCAAACGTTTGTTTGTCATGAGCGAGAAAACGTTTTGTCGTTAGCCTGTGAGTGTAGGCCTACTTTAGCCTACATGAATAAAAGTAGACCTTTTACAGTTTTAAAAGATGATATCTTATCTGTATGACCAACAATTACGCAGTAAGTTCTTTTAGCTGTTATGAGAAAAATAAATTCAAATGAACGCGCCGCCGCGTTTGTCAAACTCTAATTCAACATGCCAGAATAAAGCCAGATTTTAGAATAATGCATAGCCACTCGGCGTGGTGTGCCAAAATACCCTAATTATAAACTTCAATATTTCATTCAAAACCATCTCAAAACGCTTTGTGACATTTTAAAAAGCCGTGAATGTATTAAGGCCACTGGAACCCGGATCGTAACTGCAACGCGCTGCATGTCTCAATACAGGAGCAGAAGCGCTGGTTCAGATTGTATTGTTTGTTGTTTAAACGTGCATGTTGCATATTTAAAAATATTTGTTTAAAAATAAATGTTTGTTGTAGGCTTATTTGCAAATTACCATAACTTGTAGAATTTCATCCTTACTGTTAATTGACATTAGCCCCACTTACGTTTTGATAAATGTCCCTTTGCGCCACCTGGCGGTCATTTCGCGAACGACTTTGAAATGCGACTGGTTTATTTTTATTGTATTGGTCTACTTTAAAAAATAATACTTTATAAGACATTTATGGAAAAAGACTATTTTCTTTTCAAGATTCTGTAGAATGGCCCATATAGCATTTGACTAGAATTTGTTTCCAGGTATGACTAAAAATGTGCTTTTGGCTTTCATTTATATTTTGATTGTTTGTATATATATATATATATATATATATATATATGTGTGTGTGTGTGTGTGTATATATATATATATATATATATATATATATATTTAGGCTATATATATACAAGAAAGAATGCAATGACAATATATATATATATATATATATATTGTCCTTGCATTATTTCTTGTGTGACACCCCTGAATGAAAGGCTCATTATTATGTAGGGTCACTGTCTGAGAACCACTTAATATTCATGATAGGGGTTGGGCCGTTCCGCCCATCTGCATATTGCCTTGGCAAACAAAAAAATGTTTTTCACAATTTAAAACAATCTATTGGTTTATGTGAATGATTAGGAAGGATGATTTTCAGATCATTTTGAAGCCAGAACTCGAAGCGTCAACATCCATTTGTCAAAAGTCTTGTGGACACATATTTAGTATTTGTTTTGTGGTCTTATTTCAGCAGCTTTCATTTTAATTTTTTTCAATAACCACGCATAAACAATATTCTCTTAAAAATACAAACAATGTACATACAAGTTGCTCACAGATTATGGTAGCCCTGTTTGTGCTATATAGAGTGAATTTACACCTTTGCCATTAACATGTTTATAAATAACTGAAAAAAGCACAAATGTAAGGGCATCACAGAACATCCAAATGGCCCCAAAAACACCTCAGACCCCAGAGGGTTAAAGGAAAATAAAACATAATTTTATTTTTATTAATATCATTATTATCAGGGCTTGACATTAATTTTCTAGTGGTTTTCCATAGTTACTAGCCGCTCAGCATTTTCACTGGCCACAATTTGCACACCTGTAGCAGCGGATGACTATTATTCTGTTGCGCGGAACTGGGGAACAACTGATGATGGCACGGTTTGATGTTTGGTTGACCAATCGGTGGAAAGGGGCGTTTAATTCCCGCTCCTTGAATATAATATAATATTCAAGCTGTTTATCCATTTTGGTTTTATTGTGTTTCCATTTGGTGAACGAAAATAAAAATATGAAAAAAATTCATGAGATCCAAATTAAGATGCTTTTAATGAAACCCGAGAGTAAACGGCATCTTAAAATGAATCCATATGAACTGATTGGTTTAATGCAAGTGTGAAGAGACACAATTGTTTTATATGATGAACAGATTAATTTAGGCTTTTAATCACATATAAACACACATACATAGAGCACATCACATGAACACAAAAACTTGTCATTGGTTCTTGTGCATCATGCACGCACGTTTGAGCTTCTGTTTACCATAATGATGTTCATGTGTCAATCATTATTTTGATGTTTATTAAATCTGTTTGTCATATACAGTGTTTGTGTCTCTTCACAAGACTTGGATTAAACCACTCAATTCGTATGGATTCTTTTTTATTATGATCTCTTTATGGCCTTTTTGGACCTTTTGGAAAGTTTTGGTTAACCTGGATTAAAATCACATGGACAATTTTAACAATGTCTTTACCTTTCTGGGCCTTAAAAGTTGCTATGGCTGGTTCAGAAACCTTTCGGATTTCATAAAAAATATCTTAATGTGTGTTCCGAAGATGAACGAAGATCTTACAGGTTTGAAACGACATGAGGGTAAGTAATTAATGACAGAAATATGATTTTTGGGTGAACTAACCCTTTAATGCTCCCGTGCAAAGTAAACCACCTTTTCTTTATTTGAAGGCAAGAATAATATAAGCTTTACGACATAAGAACAGAGAAACATAGGACTCAATTATATAATAAATAATACTGCATACATCTGTTAAATGTGTAAAAATCTAAAATATGGAGGCAAAATACTTATTCTGGTTGAGTACTATCTGTAGCTGCCATTTCATAAACAGTGATTTACATGTTCAGTGAATGTAATTGTGTTTTTCAGGTTTTTTATTACTCTACTGCTATATTTGAGAAAGCAGGGGTGTCTGAGCCAGTCTATGCCACCATTGGTGCTGGAGTTGTGAACACAGCATTCACAGTGGTGTCGGTAAGTTAGTAAGAGCTTATTTATTGTGAATTTGTCCTTTGTTTAGACCGGTAACAGCGTTTTAGTTGAAAAGGCTTGTATCCCCCTCTGATTTAGCTGTTCATAGTGGAGCGAACTGGCCGAAGATCACTACATCTTGTTGGGCTGATGGGAATGGCTGTGTCTTCTGTTCTCATGACCATAGCTATGGCGCTACTAGTATGTATATGATTACACTGATATTACAGCTTCTGTTACAGTTTTTGGGTGTAAACTTTAATGTTTAATGGTGTTTATTCACTAATCATCCTCCTCAGGAAGAAGTGAAATGGATGTCGTACGTCAGCATTGTAGCCATCTTCAGTTTTGTGGCATTTTTCGAGATCGGACCAGGCCCGATCCCATGGTTCATTGTGGCAGAACTCTTCAGTCAAGGCCCCAGGCCCTCTGCCATCGCTGTCGCTGGTTTCTCCAACTGGTTTGCCAACTTCTTGGTGGGAATGTCCTTCCAGTATATTGCGGTATGTAAACATGAACACAGTAATATTCTTTCTTTTCTTGTCATTCTCACATGTTCAAATACTCACTGTTTGTTCCCTTTATAGGAACTGACTGGCCCGTATGTTTTCATCATCTTCACTGTCCTCCTGCTGATATTCTTCGTCTTCACCTACTTCAAAGTTCCTGAGACCAAAGGCCGAACATTTGACGAGATCTCAGCAAGCTTTCGCTCAGGGGCAGAGAAGTATACCCGAGATGATCTGAATACACTGGGAGCAGATTCACAGCTCTGAGCTCTGCGTCATGTTTATAGAGTACTGCTATAGACTAAGCAAGTGACTGTCCTGTTCACAATGGCAAACTACCATATTACTCCTACTAGGAATGCAGTAGGTTATGAAGTGTTTACTTTACATATTTTTCCAATTGCATTGAATACCCTGCTGAAAAATCAAGCACTGCTGGTCACCAGCATAAGGTATGTTTTGCATTCTGGTCTCCAGCATGGAAAGCAGGAGTGCTGGTGGACAAGCTACACCAGCTCAGTTTTGCTTGAGAACGTCATGACCAGCACTACACCAGCTCTAACCAGTATAAACAGGCCTGGACCAACTTGGAATTCATGCTGGTTTATGCTGGATTGTTCAGCAGGGTACTCAAATTACTTGCTAAACATTTGCCAAGCTGTGCATTATTTGACCAGTATACACTACTTCTAAATATTTACTCATTATTTCACTGGACTGACAAAAGAGTGAATATTTGTATACAAAGTTATATTAAATATTGCAAAATAACCATATTTATTTCTGAGATCGTAACCAGACACATTTCTCTAATGTAAAACATCCAACAATGTAACAACTGTGTACCTTTCTACAGTTTAAAAAAACTATTTGTAGCATACAATTTTTCCATACATTTACATATTTTTAGATACTGTACTATTATTTTTCACATACCATATTTTAAAAATAATATGCTGTATAAGTATGGTGTAGCATGCAGTATTTTAGTATTCCACTTCAGATACAGTAGTACACTTCATCACATCGTTCTGACTTCATATACGGTAGCTAAACAGCAGCGCATGTCCTTTTTTTCTCACACGTTAACCTTCACTGATTGTTTTACTTTAATGTTTGTTTTTTCATTCTGAAATGGTGAATAGCATCTAAATCTAAATAATAATCAGAATTTCTGTAAGTTCACATGCATATGAATAAGGTTATTGCATATTTGTGATGTACTAGATTATTTGAATGATTCAATTCGCACAATTTAACTTAAAGATTTTTTTTTTAGACTTTTAACTGTTTTAACGATTCTTTGCTATTGTCCAGTTAACACACGGTGACTTCTGATATGTCTGCTGATGTTATATCAATCAATTTGATACATGTTTATTAATACTTGAACTGTAGCTTTACCAAGGAGTGTCAAGATACTAACACAAGGAATACAAACGCAAAACAATTATGTAATTTTATATTGCAGTCCTGCTTTTCAGAAGTGTGGATTTGGTCTCCAATAGGTTTAATGTCCTTCTAAATCAGACCATCTCATTTTGACCTCTAATAAATTAACTCAACTAATATATTTGTTATATTATGATAAAAAAAAATATATTTTTTAGATTTGTTCATAATGTTTATGATGCTTATGTGATAATGAGAATTTAGTATATTGTTTATTTAGCAAAAGTGCAATAATTGTTAACATCCTGTTTATTTATTCCACATGCTAGGCATTATGAATGAAACAGGCTTCTAATATTTCTTATGTACAAAATATGTATTTTTATGTATAAAGTTATATGTGCTACATTCATCCAGAGGATGTAAATAAGTTCAGGTTTACTAAAGCATTTTGTAATAGATATGCTTAGTACTTTGAAATTTTTTTTAAACTTCCTAAAAGATGAGATATGGTTTTGTTCAATATGTCACAGAAATTGCATTAGAAATCCAACACAAGTGCCAAGACATGTCCTTGCTGGGTATCCTACGTTTTCTAAATAATAAAATTTTAGTTGGAAGTAAATCAAATAAACAAAACTGCAACAGAGAATTAAATGTTGTTGTTGTTGTTTTTTTGTTTAGTCTCTGTTTAGATCATTGCTTAGTATTAATGTTTGCATAAAGGTGTTTAAGATAAATCAAATTCATAAATAAATCCACAATTATTCCCAACACCAAAAGATGGCAGTATTGTACAATACGATTGTACAATACAATCTTCAGTATTGGTTACCCAAAAAAAACAAAAACAAAAAGGAGATTTGTCAATATATCTTATTTTATGTTCAACAGAATTTTTTTTAGGAATGTCATGGAACATCATGAGGGTGAGTAAAGGGTTGAACTATCCCTTTAAAGTCCCCATGAAATCAAAATTTAAGTTTTTTGTCTTTTAGTATGAATATGTTAGCCTTAAGATGATAAGCTAGTGTGCTTCCAAACAATGACCAAATTTGCATTTAGAAGATATTAGCATTCAAAATGTACAGTCTCTCACTTCTGCCAATATGGATCAACGATTTTGATGACATCAATCAAATGCTCTCTAGTCTAGAATCTGAAGCATTATACATTATACATTAGGCTATCGAGCAGCTCCTCCTCTTTTTTTAAAATAGCCAATAGCGTTTTGTTTATAACATAGCTTGCATGGCTAGAGCTTGGCAAAGCCACACTTGACAGCTTATGATAGGCACAGTCGAATAGATTTCCCTTTTAGATTTAATGTTACTGTTACTAAAGCAAAAAAGTGATCATAATCATGCTGAGGGTGTGTAGTTAGAAAAGTGTGTAGGCCTAATTTATGTTGGTGCATGGCATCGGTATGTTATGTGCTGTTTCTATTTCTGAGTCTGGCTAACCGTTTCTCCTCCTAATCCTATCCATATCGCTTTAAAATATAGCACTTTGTGTAGAATTCAAATGGGTTAGATACGTTCTCCAACTCGAGCATATGATCCGCTCTGTGGTATCGTGTCTGGACCAAAACAGAATGTGCGCGCTGCGGCGGTTTGTGTGAAACCATATTTCATTCGCCCCATAGGAAAGCAGATTTACACTATCTGAATCGTTCCCTATCTACTATGCGCCATTCACCATATAAAAAAAAAGTAATTGTGTGAACAAGTGACCGATTTCAGCCGCAGCTTCAGCGCCTATTTATAGCCTATAGCCCATGTCCCGCCCGGTCTTCCTCAAAACATTAAATAAAGCTGCTCGTTTCAAGGCACTTCAGTGGGCCTTTAAGAAAAAGCTTTACTTAGAAGTATGTCTCTTCAACTAATGTTATCTCTAATGTCCGGTATGATTTTGGGCTGTCCCAGAAGAAAGATGACCAATCATGGTGATTTCTGTGGCCGTGGCTCCTAAGCGGTTGTCCTACGTCGTACAGTGAGAGAGGTTCAAAGACGGCCGTTGTCACGGTCTTGCCGTTTCATTCTGTCTTCTGGTTTGTATTTCCACAGCATGAAGGTAAGGTCTTACGGATTTATGATTGTATCGCTCGTTTTAAAATCTTCCCAGTCAACTGACATTTTGTTATGACATCCACTTCAAACATTACAGTGCTCATGATAACTTTCGATAACTCTACAATAAGTAAATCCACTTCAACAGCTATATACTCTTCAACAGCGATGCAATGGAAATATACAGGGCTACCGTGAAAACAGAATTTCAAAGATAAAATTCTAAAGAGCGCTTGTTTCTCTATAAGGTCTATAAAATGCAACATGAAATGGCGTATCGATCAAAGCGATATGGCGGTAAAACATAAACCTACTTTCCTCAAGCTCCATTTGCAAAATTGGTTTGCCAAGGTGGCCTCTTTTCCCTAGCCATAACCGCATCCATATTCTCCTTTTCCACTTTCTCCTCTTTTTTCAGTGTACATAACAACCACAATTGCCAAAGTCCTATTCAACTTGCTCAATTTGTTTACCACTAGCGCATGCTGATGACGTTTTATTCTTCTAAACTAATTGCGTCATAGACTACGATTCAATGGGTGTCATCGTTGTACAGTCTACATACTGTACATACGGATCCAAGTTTATTATATCCATGTCGTACAGTGTGATTTGTAATGATCTTAGGATTGCCGTAGCAGGTAGAAGTATATTCTAACGTTTTAATCACAAAAGTTTATTAGTCAAAGTTCGCTAAATGTATAAACTGAATTCACAAACAGAAATCGCTCTTTCTCTATCTGACGCTACATTGACACAAAGATCAGTATTGTTGTTGTTTTTAATGATTAATAGATTGACTGATCACACATATATCATAAAAATTGTATTGTGGTACCTATAAAGAGTGTGGGATACCACAAAATGGGAGTAGCCTAATATATGGCACCAGGGGTGTAGTACCTAATTTTGGGCCCTGAGTACAAACCATCTAGCTGGGCCCCCCGCGACGGACTTTTTGACTTGAGTGCGGCAACTTCTCCAACGGGTATGGTTGGGGGGGTTGGGGGGGGGGGCGCTTGAGCCCTTTTTGAATTAAAGACTTCTAAGGCCCCCCCCCCTCTGCCTCGGGCCCTGGGTACTCGGTACCCCTTTTCCCCCCGCTACCACGCCCCTGTATGGCACGAACGTGAGGAATATTTGGCAGTGATAACATAATTCATTTTCTACAGCTGTTTGTGTTAATGTATTGGCCATAATAAAGGGAAGCATTTCAATAGAAGTCATCCATATTAATTGGTTCACTGTGATGGAAAAGAAATGTGCATTTAAACCTATAGTGGCAGTTTAGTGGTCCAGTCTGTCGATTGCTAGCAAAATCCTCTTAACGTAATGGACAGAGCCGGGGTCATAATGATTATCATTATGACAGCACCACGGGTGTCTTGTGATTTTGTCATAAAGCAACAGATTGCAGCATCCTGCCAGAATAAATGATGGGTTTTGATGTGTTGATGGGATATCAACAATTTAAGTGGCAACAAAAATACTGTAGAACTCAACACCAGCTTTAACATTTAGGCCACAGCAACAGTTACCTATGTACAATGAATTTCCTTATAGGATTAAAATTCAATGAGAGACAGCAAAACTACTGTCCATTCCATGTCATATTAAAAACTAAACAAAGCATAAAAATGCAGACGCTGCAGCTGGAATGCTGACCGTGTGGGCATAACCTAAATTGATTTTTCAAAATTAAAAAAAGGGGAAGAAGAAATCCATTAATTTGTATGTGCAGTCATGCAGACACAGTCTGCTGAAGAGATTATTAATTGCTTTCTCTCTGCAGCTCCTGTTCTCATCAGCTCCCCTCTGATTTCAAATCAGAGTCATAGCCAAACTCCCACCACATTACAATTTCATAGCACTGGAAAATATTTGCTCAACCCTTTTTAAGATTAAAGAGTAACAAACAAACAAAATCCTCTAATTTACCTTAAGTAAAGCCTAT